CGACATTGTCATCGATTGTGGCATGTATGGACTGCCTCCGATTGTCAGTCAATAGGATGGGGAATTCTAACACTCTTCTAATGTTTCCTTCATATGGGCAGCAGGCTCTGAAAACCAATCCGCAGCAGATTCCTTCTCAGATTGCTGGTTTATAGGCAGTCAGGTGGAGATACTATAATACTCCTTATATTGGTGATCAGTGGGAAGAATGTCCCTTACATTGGGGGTCAGTGGAAGAAGAATGTCCCTTACATTGGGGTCAGTGGGAAGAATGTCCCTTACATTGGGGGTCAGTGGGAAGAATGTCCCTTATATTGGTGATCAGTGGGAAGAATGTCCCTTACATTGGGGGTCAGTGGGAAGAATGTCCCTTACATTGGGGGTCAGTGGGGAGAATATCCCTTATATTGGGGGTCATCCCTTACATTGGGGGTCAGTGGGAAGAATGTCCCTTACATTGGGGGTCAGTGGGAAGAATGTCCCTTATATTGGGGGTCAGTGGAAGAATGTCCCTTACATTGGGGTCAGTGGGAAGAATGTCCCTTACATTGGGGGTCAGTGGGAAGAATGTCCCTTATATTGGGGTCAGTGGGAAGAATGTCCCTTACATTGGGGGTCAGTGGGAAGAATAGCCCTTACATTGGGGGGTCAGTGGGAAGAATGTCCCTTACATTGGGGGTCAGTGGGAAGAATGTCCCTTACATTGGTGATCAGTGGGAAGAATGTCCTTACATTGGGGGTCAGTGGGAAGAATGTCCCTTACATTGGGGTCAGTGGGAAGAATGTCCCTTACATTGGGGGTCAGTGGGAAGAATGTCCCTTACATTGGGGGTCAGTGGGAAGAATGTCCCTTACATTGGGGGTCAGTGGGAAGAATGTCCCTTACATTGGGGGTCAGTGGGAAGAATGTCCCTTACATTGGGGGTCAGTGGGGAGAATGTCCCTTATATTGGGGGGGTCAGTGGGAAGAATGTCCCTTACATTGGGGTCAGTGGGAAGAATGTCCCTTACATTGGGGGTCAGTGGGAAGAATGTCCCTTACATTGGGGGTCAGTGGGAAGAATGTCCCTTACATTGGGGGTCAGTGGGAAGAATGTCCCTTACATTGGTGGTCAGTGGGAAGAATGTCCCTTACATTGGGGGTCAGTGGGAAGAATGTCCCTTACATTGGGGTCAGTGGGAAGAATGTCCCTTACATGGGGTCAGTGGAAGGTCATGGGGTCAGTGGGAAATGTCCCTTACATTGGGGGTCAGTGGGGTCCCTTACATTGGGGGTCAGTGGGAGAATGTCCCTTACATTGGGGGTCAGTGGGAAGAATGTCCCTTACATTGGGGGTCAGTGGGAAGAATGTCCCTTACATTGGGGTCAGTGGGAAGAATGTCCCTTACATTGGGGTCAGTGGGAAGAATGTCCCTTACATTGGGGGTCATGGGAAGAATGTCCTTACATTGGTGATCAGTGGGAAGAATGTCCCTTACATTGGTGGTCAGTGGGGGAAGAAAGTCCCTTACATTGGGGGTCAGTGGGAAGAATGTCCCTTACATTGGTGGTCATGTGGGAAGAATGTCCCTTACATTGGGGTCAGTGGGAAGAATGTCCCTTACATTGGTGGTCAGTGGGAAGAATGTCCCTTACATTGGGGTCAGTGGGAAGAATGCCCCTTACATTGGTGGTCAGTGGGAAGAATGCCCCTTACATTGGTGATCAGTGGGAAGAATGTCCCTTACATTGGTGATCAGTGGGAAGAATGTCCCTTACATTGGTGATCAGTGGGAAGAATGTCCCTTACATTGGGGGTCAGTGGAAGAATGTCCCTTACATTGGAGGTCAGTGGGAAGAATGTCCCTTACATTGGTGGTCAGTGGGAAGAATGTCCCTTACATTGGTGGTCAGTGGGAAGAATGTCCCCCTTACATTGGGGTCAGTGGGAAGAATGTCCCTTACATTGGTGGTCAGTGGGAAGAATGTCCCTTACATTGGGGGTCAGTGGGAAGAATGTCCCTTACATTGGTGGTCGGTGGGAAGAATGTCCCTTACATTGGGGGTCAGTGGGAAGAATGTCCCTTACATTGGGGGTCAGTGGGAAGAATGTCCCTTACATTGGTGGTCAGTGGGAAGAATGTCCCTTACATTGGGGGGGTCAGTGGGAAGAATGTCCCTTACATTGGGGTCAGTGGAAGAATGTCCCTTACATTGGAGGTCAGTGGGAAGAATATCCCTTACATTGGTGATCAGTGGGAAGAATGTCCCTTACATTGGGGGGGTCAGTAGGAAGAATGTCCCTTACATTGGGGGGTCAGTGGGAAGAAATGCCCCTTACATTGGGGGTCAGTGGGAAGAATGTCCCTTACATTGGGGGTCAGTGGGAAGAATGCCCCTTACATTGGGGGTCAGTGGGAAAGCGTGTTTTTAGTTGTGGGTTTCTTTGTATGTGATTCTTCTAGTCTCAAGGGTTTTCTTTCTAACATCAAAGTTGTGTTTTGGTGGTCCTTTAGGAGGCGCACTAGGGCATTGTGGGTAGGGTCCTGCGCGACAACGCTTCTCTGCAAGCTGATTAAACACTGCAGTCATTTGAAGACATATTTGAGCAATCTCTGAACATTATTGCAGCTGCTGGAATCACAGCCCCTAATGGCAGGGGACACGGCGGATAATGAGGCGGGGTGTGCCGCAGACGCTTCGCTGGTGTAAAAAGAGGGATTGAAGAGTCCCGGGAAGTGCAGCGCTGGGAATAGCAATGAAAAAATAATTGCAATAATCCTTTTCTGTTTATAGGAGACATTAAATTAGGAAAATCCTTGTTTTGATGATTTAGAAAGTCTAGAGGGAGTTTATACAGTGACAACACGTTCACATGAAAGGCGCTGCCGAGGTAAAGCGGGATTTGTTCGTATTAATGGCGTATGGAAATTGCTCTCGTGCGCTCCGACGGGAAGTCACTTAAAGGTGAAATTTACCAACGCCCCTAAAAATAATAAATAAAATTGATATCCGGATAGATAGATCTTTGTATTCGATAGATTTTAGATGTTTTTCTCCGTTTTAATCTGTTTTTGTAGCTACAATTCTCTAATCTTGGCGCCTTTAGGAAGATCGCTGTTTATCTACAGGCATTGTGGCTGATCTTCAAGAAAGATCTCCCGCATTTTACATCAAGGCAGAGAACATCTTCATGAGACGTTTCCGAGACTTCCTCAGGGATATCAGCAAACAGGAAGTGCCAGGAAATGGGGGACACAGACAGGGATATTGTGATAAATGGTGAAGCGCCACCAGCAACCGTGTAATAAAACAGAGAATGGCGACATATATAAAAAACATAAAATGGTAATCACATCACATGGTAAAAACTGTATAATATACCACTCAATGTTCTGATCCAATTGGATCTAATAAACTGCAACTAAAGTGAAACAGGTAGAACCTGTAACAAAAGAACGTGGACCCTTTTTCCTGACGGAACAAAACAACCTCCCCCTGTCCACGAAGGGGACTAATGGTGATTAATGCGTGACCCCTCAGGGGGTGGAGGACACAAAATCGATGTGACCAGTGGCAGCTGGGAACAAATGAAAGTGAACACTCATATATGCGGGGGGGGGGAGGGATTAATGTTAGGAGGGGGAGGGGACAGTTTTAAGAATAGTTAGGTTTAGCCCTGGTTCACACTGATGAGGTGCGGAATTCCACACCGCATCACAATCCCGTTCATAGGAACCGATGCGGGTGTGTATGTTAACCTCTTGACGCCGAGCACACGCAAAATATGTGGCATCTCGGCGTTTGGGCCTAGACGTCGAGCGTCCTCGGATTTGTGTGCAATTAGAAAATACATATGTGCTGAAAGCGCACGCCCTGCACGCTCCCAGCACATATGTCTGTGGCTCACGGAAAGGTCCCGATCTCCCTTTTGATTGGGACCTTTTCTGATCATGTGACGGCGAATCACGGCGGTCACATGACCCTAAATCCCTCCCAGCTTCTGAAACTCCTTAAAGGGCCGGAAGGAGCCGGTGCGAAGTGGTTAAGTTAACAACCCCCCCCCCCCCCCGACATCGGTCCGCAAAACGCGGGTGCGATGTGCAGAATTGGATCACATAGGTGTGAATACCCGTGCGATCTGATTCTAGTGCGGACCCAAAAAAGGGTCCTCACCTTTTTGGTGCGGGCGCGGTGCGATTAGAGCCATACAAAATGTCGCACCGCCAACAAATTGCATGTGATTCGCACAGGAATGCGGTGCGGTTCCTATGCGAATCACATGCGATATACCGCACCGCATATACGTGAACCCGGGCTGAAGGAAAAAAAGCCTGAAAAAATGATACAGCCGGGGCTCATGTGTGTGAACACCCGTGTGATCCGATTCTAGTGCGGACCCAAAAAATGATCCTGCGCATTTTTGGTGCGGGGGCGAATAGAGCCATACATAATGTACGACTCCGATCGCACCGCACACAAATCACGTGATCTGCAGGGAATGCGGTGCGGTTCCTGTGCGAATCACATGCGATATACCGCACCTCTGTAGTGTGAAACCTAGGTGGAGGCTGGAATTCTATTATCATGGGAACCATTGCAGGGAGATTGGACCGCCATGAAATGTGTTTTTTTTTTCCAAGGCTACACATTTTTCTTTTAAATCTGTCCAATTGTGCCGATTGGTGTAATGGAAAGTAAACATTTTCTGGCAGATTCCCGCCTCTGGCTGTGCGTTGGTCCAGGTAACAGTAGCATAGTAATCCTTCTATTGTCTTCAATGGAATGCAGGAATCAGGTTTGTAATGCGTCAGAGCAGGGGCGGACTGACAACTCATGGGGCCCCCAGGCAATAGGGGATCATGGGGCCCCTGTGTCCTTGCCACACTCAAAAGCACACCCAAAAAAGCCTATAAAAGGTACCAGGGGCATTTCATGGGGCCCCCTACTGACCCGGGCCCTTGGGCAGTGCCTGAGTGCTCGAATGGTCAGTCCGTCCCTGCACCAGAGTGAACCAGGTGAGCAGGAGAGCCTCCCCATCATAGAACCTGCAGATCTAGTTGTGACAGGATGAGGGCGCTACACATCCTTCTAGCAGTGGAAATGTATGAGCCGCCTCCATCTGGAATTGGGATGTTCATGGCCTCCCTCCTGGAATTGGGATGTTCATGGCCCTCCACCTGGAATTGGGATGTTCATGGCCTCCACCTGGAATTGGGATGTTCATGGCCTCCATCTGGAATTGGGATGTTCATGGCCTCCATCTGAAATTGGGATGTCTATGGCCTCCATCTGGAATTGGGATGTCTATGGCCTCCATCTGGAATTGGGATGTTCATGGCCTCCATCTGGAATTGGGATGTCTATGGCCTCCATCTGGAATTGGGATGTCTATGGCCTCCATCTGGAATTGGGATGTCTATGGCCTCCAGGTCTCAGATGGTCTCAGAAGTTATCAGCAATACAGAAACAACTGACACCTGTGTTTGTATAGTGCAAATCCCCCCCCCCCCTCCCCCATCACAAACAAAGCCATCTGATAGCCCCAGGAATTCCACAATCCTGTCTGTTAGCACCAATTAGAAGCATTACCTGAATACTCAACAATTCCTCTCTGACCTTTCATCCAAAATTCAGTCTATCGCACATTCAAAGTTTTCATTGTTTTACTTATTAAAAGCAGCTGAAAACCTCTGATGTGAAAAATGAACAAAGCACATCCCTCTGTAACGGAGGTCTGCAAACTACGGCCCGGGGCCGGATGCGGCCCTTTGCTTGCTTTTTATCCGGCCCTTCGGGTATTATTGCCCCCACTCTCAGCAACAGTGGGGCATGTTCCTGGCACTGACAGTGGGGCACTAGTCCTCCCACTGACACCAACGATGGGACTCTATTACTCTCTTTGACACCAAATGATGACACCAGGGCACTATTCCTCCCCAATGACTGACACCAGTGATGGGACACTATTCCTCCCACTGACACCAATGATGTGGCACTATTCCTCCCACTGACACCAATGATGGGACACTATTCCTCCCACTGACACCAATGATGTGGCACTATTCCTCCCACTGACACCAATGATGATGGGGCACTATTGACCTCCCACTGATACCAATGATGGGGTACTATTCCTCCCAACTGATTACCAATGATGGGGCACTATTCCTCCCACTGATACCAATGATGGGGCACTATTCCCCCCAATGGCACCAATGATGGGGCACTATTCCTCCCACTGATACCAATGATGGGGCTGACACCAAACTATGATGGGGCACTATTCCCTCCCACTGACAATACCAATGATGGGGCAATATTCCTCCCACTGACACCAATGATGGGATGAGGCACTATTCCTCTGACACCTGACATCAATGATGAGGCAATATTGCTCCCATGACACCAATGATGGGGCACCAATGATATTCCTCCCACTGACACCAATAACGAGGCACTATTCCTCCCACTGACACCAATGATGGGGCAATATTCCTCCCCACCTTTGACATTATCCTCCCAGTGCAATGAGACACTATTCCTCCCACTGACACCAATGATAGACACTATTCCTCCCACTGACACCAATGATGACACCAAATGATGGCACTATTCCTCCCACTTTCACCAATGGTGGGGCACTATTCCTCCCCTATTACCAATGATAGGACATTATTTACTCCCTCTGACACCATGGCACTTTTTTTTCCCACTGACCACAGTCCGGCCCCCCTAAAGTTAGAAGTATAGTAAAGTGGCCCTTTGTTTAGAAAGTTTGGAGACCCCTGCTCTATAGTGTGTGCTTGTCTCAGTCCAGAGCACTAAGGGCCATTTCTGTTCGCTGCCTCCTTCCTCTGCTATCTGCATGAGTCACTTCAGTTTTCCTGACACCAAGAGAAAAATGGTGACAGGGGAGGGCACAGCCTGTGATTGACAGCTATAGCTCTGTTCCTGTGATCAGTGTGAAAGGGGGGGGGTGTCCCTTCCCTCCAATCAGCTCTCAGAGCTCTCCACATTGATGTAACTTCTGCTCTCCACCTCCTGCTTTGCAGAGCAGAGAGATCTGTGTGTGAATTCTGCACTTTAGGGCCTTGTTCTCACCAAAGGTGCATGAAAACTGATGGAAACTGACACTCAGATTTCACTTGCAGAGACATCAGTTCACATTCACAGTTCACTGAGCCTTATGCAGGCCACAGACGTTCATCGATCGTTTATCCACAGACCACAGACCGATCGTTTATCGGACGATTTTTTTGTCCAAAAGAATAATCTGCCGATTTTCGCACTGTTAGTGGGGCAATGGCATCATCCGATTTTCGCGGTCCCTTCTCATTTCCGTTATCGGTCACGCTGGAAAATTCGTGAAAAATGTCTAATTTTTGCAATCATTGGTGGCAACATTGGTTTACAGAACGAGCGATGTTTTGTTTTTCGGATGAAAAATCGGCCGATAAACGAACCGTCTATGGCCTGCATTGGGCTAGGTTCACACCTATGCAGTTTCTGCATTGCGTTTTGGATTTTTGCACGTGCGTTTTTGATGCCTTTTTTATGTGTTTTGCGCTTTTTAATTTTTCTTGTTGCTAGGCAGATTTGAAACAAAGCAAAAATGCACTACATGCTTTTCTGCAGCTTTCCCATTAAAGTCTATAGAACCAAAAATGCTACTTTTTGCATTCCAAAACGCATCGGGTGTAAACGTGGAGATGTGAACATGTCCCATAGGAAATCATGTTAAATGGACTGTAGTGCGTTTCTGCAAAAGGTGTGAACCGATTGTTAGACACATTGCAGATTCCTGCGCGGAAAAAATCTGCACTGGTGTTGTGGTGTAAACAGGGCACATAGAGAACAGTTGATTCAGTTGTGCCTTTGCAGAACGCGTGCAGAAAAACCGACGTCTCTGCACCTCGGTATGAACGAGCCCCGAATGGATGTAGGAGACAGATGGCTGTGCAGATAAACAGGTACAACTCCTGTAGGAGGTTTTTTTTCCTCTCTGTGTATCGCCTGAGGCCGGTCACTTCACTGGGCATTTTTAAGGGTTTACAACCCCTTTTTAAGCGTCATTCAGTTGTTGAAACTGCAACATGTTGCAGGTTTATCATATCTGTTGTGTATGTTTGAATATAATTATTATTATTATACAGGATTTATATGGCGCCAACAGTTCAATACAAGAGGGATAGGAGGGCTCTGATCCTGGGAGCTTACAATCTAGGAGGGAGGGGCTAGTGGTACAAAAGGTAATAACTGTGGGGGATGGACTGGTAGGAGGAGTAGAAGATTCCATTATTAGCTGAGGGCAGGATAGGCTTCCCTGAAGAGAGAGGTTATCAGAGATCGCCTAAAAGTGAGCAGAGTAGGTGATAGTCTGATAAATTGGGGTAGAGAGTTCCAGAGGATGGGGGACGCTCTGGAGAAGTCCTGGAGACGAGCATGGGAGGAGGTGACAAGGGAACTAGAGAGTAGGAGGTCGTGCGAGGAGTGGATATGTGGGATGTTGCTATAAAGCCAACTGCCTGTTTTTTTTTGTTTTTTTTTTCTGTTTTTTGTAGTGGGAAAGGTAAAAGCACTGCAGTATTGAAGAAAAAAAAAAACTATATCAAAAATGGTTTAAAAAAATAAATAACTCCAACCTCGAGTTGTATGCGGCCATTTGTTACATGGGCGGAGGGCTACTTTCAAGCCTCTATAGAGAATCTATAAATCAAGCCGCAATCTCGCAGATATTCCGCTCCAGTGCTGTGCGGTCTCGCTGTGTGGCAAGGTTTGTGCATTTCTTCCACTCGATGTATTTTGTTGGACTTGAGCCATGTCATTTAGTTGGGCCGTCGCTGCTATCGAAAGATTATTCACTTTAAAGTTGATGCATTTTATTTTTCCTGTACCAAATACACCAGGACATGATTCACTATTGCTGTTTTTGCACGCAGGTTGGTGTCAGTTGTGTGCCGGCGGTGGGGTCCATTGCCTACCAGCCCTGGGATCCAGCTCTGTCTCCACCCAGCTGGTTCTTCCCTTGCCTTTGGGCTCTAGGTGCCGCCATCTTGGATGTGGGAAGTTGGCTGTGACTTGGTTGGTGTCAGTTGTATGCAAGGTGGTGGGGTCCATTGTTACAATGCTAGGCGCTGTTCGCTTTTACTATATAGGAACTTTGGTTGTTTCTGAAAAAATACTCTAGATGCTGACTATTCACAAAAAGACACTTACCAGCCCTGGGATCCAGTGCTGTCTCAACCCAGCTAGTTCTGCACTTGCCTTTGAGCCCTAGGTGCCGCCATCTTGGATGTGGGAAGCTGGCTGTGACTTGGTTGCTGTCAGTTGTATGCCGATGGTGGGGACTGTTGCCTCCCATTGTTACAATGCAAGGCACTATGGAATCCAGTGCTGTCTCCACCCAGCTGGTTTTGCACTTGCCTTTGAGCCCTAGGTGCCGCCATCTTGGATGTGGGAAGCTGGCTGTGACTTGGTTGCTGTCAGTTGTATGCCGATGGTGGGGACTGTTGCCTCCCATTGTTACAATGCAAGGCACTGTGGGATCCAGCGCTGTCTCCACCCGGCCGTTTCTTCTCTTGCCTTTTGGCCCTAGGTGCCGCCATCTTGGATGTTTGAAGCTGGCTGTGACTTGATTGGTGTCAGTTGTATGCCGGCATTGGGATCCATTGCCTTCCATTGTTACAATGCTAGGCGCTTTTCGCTTTTACTATATAGGAACTTTGGTTGTTTCTGAAAAAATACTCTAGATGCTGACTATTCACAAAAAGACACTTACCAGCCCTGGGATCCAGCGCTGTCTCAACCCAGCTGGTTCTGCACTTGCCTTTGAGCCCTAGGTGCCGCCATCTTGGATGTGAGAAGCTGGCTGAGACTTGGTTGCTGTCAGTTGTATGGCGACGGTGGGGACTGTTGCCTTCCATTGTTACAATGCAAGGCACTATGGGATCCAGCGCTGTCTCCACTCGGCCGGTTCTTTCCTTGCCTTTGGACTCTAGGTGCCGCCATCTTGGATGTGGGAAGCTGGCTGTGACTTGGTTGGTGTCAGTTGTATGCTGGCATTGGAGTCCATTGCCTTACATTGTTACAATGCTAGGCGCTGTTCGCTTTTACTTTATAGGAACTTTGTTTGTTTCTGAAAAAATTCTCTAGATGCTGACTATTCACAAAAAGACACTTACCAGCCCTGGGATCCAGCGCTGTCTCCACCGAGCCGGTTCTTCCCTTGCCTTTGGGCCCTAGGTGCCGCCATCTTGGATGTGGGGAGCTGGCTGTGAATTCTGGTGTTTCACAACCGGCTCCCAACTGCACATGCTTGAAGTGCGCTTCGCTTTTTGATAGGTCCCACAGCCTCCAGGGACCTTTGGCCTGAGGTTGCGTGCGATAAGGGGGTGGGGACTTCTGATTTTCTCACCTATGGAGTGAGAGGCAAGGGATGGTTGGGGTTTGGGAAGGAGGAGAACTGGTGGAACTTTAGATTAAGCTGGACATACACGTATAGATTTTTGTTCAAGAATTTTCATTTCGAGAATATTCATTTGATTTTCTAATCGTTAGTGGCGTCAAATCGATGTTTGTTTTCCACCGCAGTGACAGGGAAATTCGAAGGGGCAGGGAGGAAAACTTTTCTCGATCAAACAAATTTTCGGCTGGTGTGTGTGGTTATCGTTCAGCAATTACTTTCATTTTAAACTTGGATGTTAAAAGCAAAAGACAATTTTCGAACGACGATTCACCGATTCTTCAAAGAATTTTCGTACGACTTCTGGAAGGTGATGAAGATTTTTTTTTTTTTTTTCTACACTGATTGCTTTTACACCCATAAAGGATGTAAAAGCAATCATTTCTCCTTCTCTCTGGCTGCATTCTTGCAGACATTGAGAACTACTGTGTGAGCTGTGATTGGTCACAGGTTGTCACATGGTACAAGGCTGTTGTGACTAGCCCTGTACCATGTGATCTCTGTGATCATTCACAGATTTCACACGTAGTAAGCAATGATGTCAGAAGTGACATCTTGCTTACTACTCTGCATGTGATCACTGATTGGCCAATCAGTGATCACATGATCAGGACCTCGCAGAGAGACACAGCGGGCACCAGATCCCAGGGAGCGCGCACAAGCAGGGGGTGGGGAGGCCGTTTATAAACGGCCACCTGCACTGCCACCGTCTGGCCGTTTATATACATGCATGTGATCACTGATTGGCCAATCAGTGATCACATGATCGGGACCTCGCAGAGACGATCGGTGTCCCGGAGGACACAGCGGGCACCAGATCGCGGTGCTGCACGCTCCCAGGGAGCGCGCACAAGCAGGGGGCGGGGAGGCCGTTTATAAACGGCCACCCGACCCTGCACTGCCACCGTCCGGCCGTTTATATACAATGGCCGGGCGGGAGGTGGTTAAATTGTACTCCCTTGAGGGTTAGGGACTGATGTGAATGTACTACATATATGTAAAGTGCTGTGTAAATTGCTGACACTATATAAGTACCTGTAATCATGAGAAAAATGTGTGAATCACGGGTGAAAACACTGATAAATAGCGCTTCAAGTCTATTTTGGGAAGCTAAAAGAAATGTTGCATTTGGTCAATAGGAGTTATATTGATCACTGCACCCACTATAGGTCCTGGTGGATACGATTTCAGGCTTTTTCCCCGGCAGGGGTTAATCAGGGGTGCTGTCACCGACAGGTTTTGGTAAAGGAAGTTGTCGGTAATTTGTCAGGAATGGTGTTTGTTCACACTCAGGCTGAACTCTAGACTAGTCCCCGGCCTTTTGTCCATACAACTGGTATTAAAGTCTTAACTCTCAGACAAATGAAAATATGAAATAGTTACTAATGTCAACTTGATAAACTGGTCAGCCCTGTTCTGTCCAGAGATTCCATCTTTTCTTCAGAAACCTTTCCACCATCCTCTATGGGGTCAGAGAAGGCTTTGGTTTGAAGAACTGGTTGACCATTGTTCAAGAAGTCCGTTTTTACAAGTTTGTCCTGATGGGCGGAGGGCTGGCCCTTAAGCCGATTAGAGCCAGGTGTTTGCTTATCTCAGTCATCTTTTGTGAACTTTCAGGTTTTGCAAAGCATGAGTGAACTTTTTGTTTTTTCTTAGACTTATGCAAGGCCATACACGGGTCGAATTCCGAAAGGATGTTCTTTGAAAATCGTAACTAAGAATTTTTGTTTGAATTTCACGCCATTAGTGGGCCGCATCATCGGCTGATTTTTCCATGCAGCCATTGAATTTGAGTGGTCGGGTGTGTTAAGAATTTTTTTTTAAAAACTAACAAAATTCTACTCAATGATGGGAGAATCGTACGAGAAATATAATTAAGAAAGAAAGGAGCATGAGCTGTTGTCAAGGCAGGAGCTGGGAAACGGACAGGCAGGCCTAATATCAATGTAACGCACAGGCTGACGACAACCACCACCCACAGACCGAAGTCCCTCAGGGCGCGGAGTCTAAGTCCCAGGCTCCCCTTCACCAGGGCCCCTGATGGTGGGGATGGACTTGACGCAGCCAGGAACCAGGTCGCGGCCCCCGAGGCACCCCAGCTGCGGTAATGGCCGCCGCCAATGGCGTGTAGCTAGTGGTAAAGACAATAGAGTAGTCAGACAGGCCGGGTCAACAACAACGAGACAAAAACGGTACAGGACAGCAGACGAGAATCACAAGTCACGAGCCGGGTTCAGCAACGGAGGGTCAGATCCAAGGAGAACACAAAGAATGGTCAGGTCACAAGCCGAGTCAGATTCCAGGAGAGTCACGAGAGTCAGAACAGAGTAACAGCAACACAAAGACACAAGACACAAGTGCAAAGAGCATGTGCGGAACACAGGCTTATATGTCATCAGCCACACCCCTCTGGAGGATGGACCTCAGAGACCTGAAGGCATAAAAGATTCCCACCATGCTCTGCAGAAATCCAAGATGGATGCCAGCACATGGAGTAACATAACCTCTGGTAAAAAGGTAGGACCTTGACAGCTGTGACCTGGAAAGAAAAGAAGATTCCCAGCAATTAAATTTCTTTTCTGTAGCAACATGAGGTGAAATTGAAGGTTTGGTTGGTCAAATTTCAAAATCAATGGTGGCACCATCGGATTACAAAATCACATAAAATTTCCAGTTTTCTAAAGAAAATTTGTCCAGAATTCGACCCATGTATGGCCTGCCTTAGGCTAAATTTACACATTTCATTAAGCACAGTCACAATCAAGCATTTGTCAGTAGGCCCTATAATGTGTCAATACTTAAAGTGGACCTTCTATGAAAAATGGAAGGTCCAGTTCTTTGCCAGGGCTGCTTAAAGCCAAACATTTTAAATTTGCGATACCGTTGTCAACAGGCCCCTAAATGGAGCATCAAAGTGTTAGAACCTTCCTGGTGACCTTTGTTAGAAAGTGATGGGGAAATCGTATATTTTTACAGTTGTCACCACAACAGGAATTGAGGGGAAATCTTCAAAAATTAGCACTTTTTGTTCCTTACTCTATCCAAAAATTTAAAAAGCTTTGAATTTAGATTGTCTTAAAGAAAACAAAATCCAGGTATGGATGTGTTTACATAGTTACATTGTTCCAGCTTGGACCAGCTACAGTATGTATACACCATGTCTGTGGGATCCCTCTAGCACAGGGTTTCTCAGCCAGGGTTCAATGGAGCCCTAGGGTTCCTCCAGAGGTTGCTAGGGGTTCATTGAGCAATTAGCAACTTCTGCCTTTCAGATAAGTTCTCACCAACACCATTATCTTTTTAGCTATATGTGAGGAGGTAATTCTTCCCAATGGTCACAAGTGTGAGGAGCATTCTTCCCAATGGCCACAAGTGTGAGGAGCATTCTTCCCAATGGTCAGACGTTTGAGGAGCATTCTTCCCAATGGTTACAAGTGTGAGGAGCATTCTTCCCAATGGTTAGAAGTGTGAGGATCATTCTTCCCAATGGTCACAAGTGTGAGGAGCATTCTTACCAATGGTCACAAGTGTGAGGAGCATTCTTCCCAATGGTCACAAGTGTGAGGAGCATTCTTCCCAATGGTCACAAGTGTGAGGATCAGTCTTCCCAATGACCACAAAGTGTGAGGATCAGTCTTCCCAATGGTTACAAGTGTGAGGAGCATTCTTCCAAATGGTCACACGTGTGAGGAGCATTCTTCCCAATGGTCACAAGTGTGAGGTGCATTCTTCCCAATGGTCACAAGTGTGAGGAGCATTCTTCCCAATGGTCACAAGTGTGAGGAGCATTCTTGCCAATGGTCACAAGTGTGAGGAGCTTTCTTCCCAATGGTCACAAGTGTGAGGATCAGTCTTCCCAATGGTTACAAGTGTGAGGAGCATTCTTCCAAATGGTCACACGTGTGAGGAGCATTCTTCCCAATGGTCACAAGTGTGAGGTGCATTCTTCCCAATGGTCACAAGTGTGAGGAGCATTCTTCCCAATGGTCACAAGTGTGAGGAGCATTCTTCCCAATGGTCACACGTGTGAGGAGCATTCTTCCCAATGGTCACAAGTGTGAGGAGCATTCTTCCCAATGGTCACAAGTGTGAGGAGCATTCTTGCCAATGGTCACAAGTGTGAGGAGCATTCTTCCCAATGGTCACAAGTGTGAGGAGCATTCTTCCCAATGGTCACAAGTGTGAGGAGCATTCTTCCCAATGGTCACAAGTGTGAGGAGCATTCTTCCCAATGGTCACAAGTGTGAGGAGCATTCTTCCCACTGACCATCACACTAATGTAGCATGAGTTGTAGATATAGTCATTTTTATCAGGAGTTCCCTGAGACCAGAAATCTATTTCAAAGGTTCATCTGTGTTGCGAAGTTTGAGAAAGACAGGTCTAGAAGCTGGAAATCACCGCAGCAGGCACCCCTACATCCGTGATCTCCACCAGCTTCTGGGTTCATCCCAAACAGATGCCCTATTGGATTGTTAACACAGGAAGTTGGCTGTTTTGCATGTGTTCTATTTCGAGATTGCTTTGCATTTTCTCATTGACTGCAAAGCATTCTCTGATTGAATGAGTAGGAGAGGCAACATCTTGGAAATGCAAGGCCCTTTATCTGCTGTTGGGGTGAAGCAGCCATCTTGGTCACACTCCGAATATCATAGTAGTGCCAATACAGACAGGGGCCAATTTTGAGTCCTCCAAGTTATAATAAAGGATCCGCGTCTCCCTAAACAGGTTGGATCTAGTATATTGCTGCCTTGTGGTTGAACACCATCGTTAAAAGTTTTTGGACTCTTAGTTCTTTAGCCTGGCACTGTCACGGGCATTTTGGATGTGGATTCCAAACTTTGTTTCCCCCCCTCCCCCCCGCCATGTTAAGAATACCCTGTTTGTGCTTGGAGCCTTACTGGAGCCATTGTGCCCCATAATAATTTGATCCACCTTCTTCATCCATAATCTGTTCATGAGTCAAGTCCAGCGCCTCAATCGCATCTGCTCCATTGAAGTATCGAAAGACTGTTTTTTAATTGCAGATCTGCTTCCATCCCTGTGTATATAACACAGTATTTCTCAACTTTTTTCCAGCCGAGGCACCCTTTAGACGTATGTACATTCTTGAGGCACACCATTCTGAAATGTAAAACAAATAAAATAGTTTAGCACAGTTGAGGCTCCACACACATAGGACACCCAACATTAGGGGCAATTTATGCTTACAAAGCAAATCCATTTTTGCATACTGGTACTAACGAGTATTCCAGCATCTCTTCTCCCTCATTTTCTCTCCCCCCTAAGTACCCAACATGGCCCTGGGAAAGGGGGGTAAAGGGGGTCAAACAAGGATGCTGTGCAGGTGCCGAAGTCCTCGATATCAACCAATGACATCGGTGGATGTTAGGGTGTTGGCAGATGGCCCAGACAGTACCCAAGCTTCTAATGTTGTGTGGTGAAAACCTGTGGATTTATGTAACAAAAGGCAGTCTTGATCCACCCACTGGCTTGATGACAATTTGGGGAAATTTTACGCATTTTGCCAAAGCACCCCTGAAGAACCCAGTAGACATCCCAGGGTGCCTGGGCCCCTGGCTGAAAAAGGCCGATATACCCTATAGGCTTGGATCAGGGGCGGACTGACAACTCATGGGGCCCCCTGGCAATAGGGATCATAGGGCCCCTGTGTCCTTGGCCAAATTCAAAAAAGCCTATGAAAAAGGTACCAGGGGCATCTCATGGGGCCCCCTACTGACCTCAGGCCCTCGAGCAGTGCCCGAGTTTCCAAATGGTCAGTCCGCCCCTGGCTTGGATTTAGCAGGCTTTTTGGTAATTAATGGTGACTTCTATATAACCCAGA